GTAAACCCCATAATTAAGCAATGCCATTAATTATGTTATAAACACACAAATTATGCTAACACCTCCCCTCGAACTCAAGATGGTATTGTAGATGTCATCTTGAGTTTGCATACTAAGTCGTGAAAATATCCAAGCAGGTGCGTCTTAGTAAAGATATCATCAGACGAAGATACAGAAACTAAATGGAGAGTACCAAGAGTAACAAGATGGCGAATAAAATAACAATTAATCTCAATGTGTCTAGTATGCTCATGAAACACATTATTACGAGCAATCTGAATAGCACTGTAATTGTCACAATAAAGAACAATAGAAGATGAGTGGGGGAGACCCATATCTTCTAATAAACGGCGAAACCAAAGTAACTCCGTAGTAGCATCTGCAAAGGCACAATATTCCGACTCTGTACTAGAACGAGCCGAGGCAGTCTGCATCTTGTTGTGCTAAGAAATAAGAGAGTCGCTCAAAAAGAAACAGTAACCAGTGGTGGAACGACAATCTATAGGATCACCAGCCCATTCTGTATCAAAATACCCAAATAGTACTAGAGAGGAGTGAGCTGAAAAATGAAGTCCATGAAAGAGAGTCCCCTTCACATAGCGAAGTATTCGAAGAACTGTAGAGAAGTGACAAGTGCGAGGAGCGGCCATAAATTGACTAACCAAGTGAACTACATAGGCAATATCAGGCCGTGTCACAGTTAAACAGATCAGGCTCCCAACAAGCTGGCGATAGAGAGTACGATCATCGAGAGGAGAACCATCCATAGGAATTTTTTTCCCGAAATGGCCTAGGCGAGCGCCCAGTATAAAATGGGGCGGCCGTCCGAGCTATTTATTGTTGTTCTGTTAATGATCTTGAAGCTTGGGCGGCCGCCCACGCAAAATAAATGGGCGGTTGCCCGGGCTAAATTTTCGCTACTTTTATTTTCCGCCCTTTTATCCATTCTTTCTGCAATCTTGGTCCTCCTCATCACATTCCTTCAATTGTAGTGCTTCAACTTTTACCCAAATGCATAGTATTCCCCCATACTT